TTCAGCTGACAGTACAATCTGACTAAGTAACTGCAAGCATTCAAGTGAGGTTTTCTCAGTTAGGAAAAGAAGATATTCTACAACATAATCTTTTTTCCAAAAATATACACAGTTGTCCCAGAGAAACAACTAATAATATTGGTGAGACTGCAAACAGGAATGAGACAAGCACCACTACATAAAACAATTCTTCAATGTTAGTAACAGTTGGTTGGCTCAGATGAAAAAGTTAAGACCAAAGAAACTGAGAAAGGATGACACTTAGATCTGGACACTCCGGTGATTCAGATCACTTTCTAAGTCAGTTTGGAAATAGGCAGTGACTATTTCAGCCAAATAATATTGCACAACTGGCTTTAATTTAGCATAAAAGACAACAAAAACCTATTGATTCACGTGCAGACAGTTTTCTGGACAGGAAATATTTATGATCAAAACAAAAAGTTCATTAAAAATTTGAATTAAGTGCTTACAAGCATGAACAGTCATTGCATCATATTCAATGTACTGAGTAGTTCATATTCTACAAACATTCTTTGGGTCTGAAAATGTGCTTTTAATGCAGCATGAAAAGAATTGGTTAATTTAATGGGATAAGGCAATGCAATGCAACACAAGAGCAATCTGCCAAAGGAAAGAGCTTTATGGGAGGATTTTCTATGAGAAACTGGGACCTATTTAGACGTTACAGTGGTACCTTAGTATACGTCTGTTTTTGAATACGTCCTGTTTGGATGAAACAAATTTTGCTCAGTATACGACTTATGTTCGGTATACGACTTAATTCAATTATACGCACCATCTATGAACAAGTAGCATTATCGGTGTACTAGACCAGACTAGATGTTTGCTGTGCCACAGTTTATAACTTCGTTAAATTTCTTCTGATTTTAATTTGTAAGTAAAATTTTACTATTTTTATTAATCATGAATTGCAAAAAGGCAAATGAAAAGCAAAAGAAAACTAAAATAATGACTAGAATCACAATGGAATTGAAAAAAAAAAAGATTATTGAGAAATATGAAGGTGGCATGCATGTTCGAGATTTAACTGTTTCATACCGTATTCCGAGAACGACGATATCGACAATTGTGAAAAATAGACATTATTAAATCTGCTAACGTTGCAAAAGGGGTTAAATCAATTTCTAAACAGAGATCGAAGACCATGTAAGAAATTTTCTTTTGTTTTGGATAACTGAAAAACAGTGTGCTGGCGACAGCGTATCAGAAGCAATTATTTGCGAGAAATCTAAAAAGATACGTGCTGATCTCATGAAAAATCAAGCAGGAACTAGCCAGGAAAGCATGGTGTTTAAAGCCAGCCATTTCTTTTTTACATGAGAATGGATTAATCATTTTTACATTACTTCTTATGGGAAAGGTTGGTTTGATATATGTCATATTCGGTATAAGTCCAAACATTAGGAACGGATTAAGGTCGTAGACAGAGGTTCCACTATATAAAGAAAATCCAGAAAATTTCATGCAGCCAACTTGCTGGTCAGACACAAACCCAGTACTGACTAGCAGTGTTCAGTAATTTTATCATCCATCTGACCACTGGTGGCATGAAGAGGAGGTAGTGCAGAATAGACTATTTGATGAAACTGATTGATGAATTATGCCTGGTACATCAAGGTTTATCCTTGAGGATACCAATAAGAAATCCAGGATAAGTTTTTGGAAATTAGTGAATCTGTCAAATATGGTAAACTACATGGAGCAACATACAATTAATTCAGCCCTAAAATTCAAAATGAAATTATAGATTTTGTAGTCAAACTCATTTTTCAGAAAGTATTTAAAGAAATGTAATGAGGGTTTTTCATTAATGGTAGATGAAACTAAATGTTATAAGGAAGAGCAGTTATCAATGCGGCATTCTAAACCATTAGATACACCAAGGAATTAGAAATTAAAGAATAATTTTATCGTTTATTAATTTGTTCCATCTTTAGTTTTTCTAAAATGGCCTGGAACTGGCCATTTTAGAGTTTCTAGAAAGATGTAATATGACTGGTATACTAGTAATTGCACAGTTGTCTGATGGAGCCAATGTCAGGAAAGAATTAAGATCTCCAAATAAAAACATCCAGCAATAAGTTGCTTAAAACATCCAGCAACATTTGGTGGCACCATCTGTTATGATATTTTATTATTAAAAACCTTTTATATTTTTAACTATTATAAAATGGCAAAAAGCTTAATTTTGAGGGTAGAGATGGGTTTTATAAAAAATTGTAAGTGTTAATAATGAGTAAAATCGTCATTAAGTTCAACCCTACTGGATACACACACCCCCTTGACCTTTAATCATCAAAATTTAATAACATCAATCCCCCTAATAAACAAACCTCCCTGCAAAATTTCAGAAATTTTTGACAAAAAGCACAGGAGATATTAAGCTTCAAATAGGGTAAACAAGATCATGCTCCCACACACTAACATCCATATATACAGAAATCACCACTGAATTTTTTTGCATTTCTTGACATTTTACGGCCCCAAGTCCAAAACTGTAAATCTTGGGGGTTTATTTTTTGACCAATCATACTCTCCCTCTGTTATATATAACAGCTGGAAAAGTAGTAATCCATATCCACTGTTTAGCACATAGGTGCAATTTGTGCAAAAATTTCATTGGAACACCATGCCAACACCATATTGGAAGTGGTAAAGGGATATCCTGTAACTGCCACGTCACAATTCACTGTAGGCATGATACATAGTAGAAGGCAATAGTTGTCAGTAATGGGCAAACAAAGCAACTTGAGAGACTGAGCATGGGAAGATCGTTGGGGACCAGAGGAAGGATGCCAGTATTTCCAAAACAGCTGCACTCATTGGGTGTTGTTGTATTACAATGTCCAGAGTGTACAAGTGAATGAGATCATGCACAAATATCCACTAGATAACAGGTGAGTGTTGCATGTTAAGACTGGTAACTGAATGAAACACATGTCACAGTGGAACAGTTTACCTGCTAGCATAACAGTGGACAAAGCAGATGTGTTTTGACAATAAACATGAGACACCTTGCATTGATTGGGCTATTGAACCCCAATCAACGCAAGATATGTTGCATGCCCAATCAACAGATGACCTGCATGGTTTATCTATTGATCACAAACAATACCTCACATGGGTGAGGAAGAGACATCATTGGATCTTGGACAGGTGGAAGAAGGTGATCTGGAGTGATGAGTCTCATTTGATGTTGAACTATGCTGATGGCTGGGTCTGAACCTGGCCAAAACAGCATGAATCTAAATTCCCTGGTTTCACAGTTGGGGTTCCAAAAGCTGATGGTGGCAGTATAATGGTCTGGGGAGCATTCTTTTGGCAAGGCATAGAACCATTGGTTGTCATTCTACAGTCCTTGAACGGTGAACGATACAGGAACCTGTTAGGTGATCATCTGCACTCATATCTCCAGGCTACATTTCCTTACAATGATGCCATGTTTCAAGATGATAATGCACTTTGTCATTGCACTCAGGAATGATGGGAAGAATACAAGAATGAATTCCACATATTTCCTTGGCTCCCCAAACTCATCAGACTGCAGCCCTATTGAATATGTTTGGAATATGCTGGAATGTGTGGCGAGGTAATCGCCCACTCCTCTGTGAAATGTGCACCAACTGATAAAACTGCTCGAGCAAGCATGCATCTAATTAATAATAGAGGATGTTTGACATTTGGTAGAGTCCATAAGCCATAATCACCCAGAAAGATGGACCAACCTGTTATTAGGCAGATGATGTTTCTAATGTAGTGTTCAGTGTACATCCATCTCTTAAAGACCAATAACCATGTCCATGTTATGAAAGTTTGTGACAGTGGGTATCAGGACCAACTCTGAAATGGAAGTTTACATATCACTGGGTGGAACTGTCGTCATTGAAACTATAAAACTATATTGAGTAATTATGATGTAATCACAAAAGTTTTGGAAGAAGTCAGCCAGGTCTGAGATAAGAACTTGGTGGGACTTGCTTCATGAAACTAGATTTTGCGAACTGTGTTTCAATCATTATTTATTAATCATGAATGTATGGAATAAATACCTACCTCTAAAGTAAAAATGCAACTTGCCCCTGTACATCATGCTTTTCCTTTAACAATAGAGTCATGCTGGTCATCTATCTAACACCTTTCAGGGTAAAGTTTTGAACTGAAATAACACGACTTCTGGTACAAACCAGAGGCCGTATTCCAGTCACTGTCTCTTGTCTCTCGCAAGTTGGTCACTGATTGGCTAATCATTTGGCTTAGCCAATCAGCAACTGGCTTGTGAGAGACGAGAGACCAAAGACAGTGACCAGAATATGGCCCCAGATGTTCATATATAGTTAATCGAAACCTCCTGATCGCTAAGGTTTCCACATCTGGCCTCATCTTTCATCTAACTCCATTCTTGAGATTAAGGAAAGACAGATGATACACAGACAAATGACAGTGGGAATTTATAGGTCTACAATTTTTTCAAATTGCAGCCCAATGAGCATCATTGCTAGTTTTTAAGAAGGGAAACCAATTCAATGTCATCTACAACAACATGATAGGCTCATGACTTATTTTTCTGTGAATTAAACAAGAATCAAAGAAATCTTAAATGCATAGATCAGAATCAAGGAACACATATAACCATATTTGCTTATATTGTTATAGGATATAATTTTTTCCTGAAGCATTACTTTCAAGAAGCATATTTACTATGTTAACTAAGGATTATCTGTACATCATTACTAAAATAATGAAATACATTTACAAGACTGTGAACACAGTCATTTTTTGGTGTTTAATACCTCCAACTGGAAAGAATTAAAACAAAATAGCCTGTATACCTATATTGTAAAACTTATGTTATAAAAAAATAATGTTTGTTTTTAACCATCCTTTTAAAAATCCTGTGCAAGGGTTCTTTTTGAAACTAGAAAATATCACTGGATAACTTGTGCTAAATTTTGAGTAAATGTAAGAATTATACAACATTAAAAGAGAAAAACTTTATTTCCAATTTAGCAATAAATCTTGCAGAATTTTCCAAGTTCATAGAACAATTAAATATAGATCAAAATTAAACTGCTTAAATTTTAAATAATTTAAAAATTGACATAGTTTTTTACTATATAACTCTTTAACTTTTAATTTTATCTTCTATCAAGAGCAAAAAATTTATACAAATAAATAAAAATAAAGAATAAGAATCATCTATAATTTAAAATTCAGGAAAGTTCCATAAAACAGAACTTAGCACTTCAAATAAAATCATCATTATAAATCCAGAAAAATAATTTGTCTACTTTTCACAATAACATCTCCATTTGCATTTCAGAAAATGCATAATACTTTTATAGAATGGTCAAATGAAAAGTTTGTTTGTAAGGAGTAGACTCAATAATGCTGTAAACTGGCCATGTTTGTTATTGCCATGTGCTTAACACTTAAATTTCGGAACATTTATTTACTATGGACTCAAATGATGACATCCAAATTTCTCATTGACAGACAGCCAGATAGTTGAGACTAAAAAGGCATCAGGCACTCTGGGTTTGAGTCCAGGTGGAAGACTTTAGATAGTCTGTTTTGAGTGTGTTGGGCCTCATCTCTCTCCATCCATTCAATCTCATAGGCCTGACTGAACCTATGATGGACATAGTAAAACAGGCCCTCTTAGTGACTACAGGACAAAAACTTGCTAGCATTGCCAAGTCTAATCTTTGCAACTGAACTTTTCATTTGATGACCCTGTATTAATAAAAGTTAATATATTCATTATAAACTGATAAAAATAATATAAATATTTTAGAAAAATTATATTATCATTAATAATATTTAGTAGACACAGTGTACATACTGTAAGTAATGATCAATATTTTTTAAAATGTTGCTTATGATGAATAATTATTGCTCATTCAATAAATATTTTCCTTATTGTGTTGAATTACACTTGCATTAATCCTAAATGAGTATAATGATATTGCTAATAAAAGCTTCAAAAATCTGAAATACTTTTTTACATAAGTTATTACTATAGAATTGATCATCACGACTTAAAAGTATCTTCTGATGATGATGATGATGATGATGATGTTGAACTGACAACCGGTTTTAATTTTTTTACTGCTTCAATCTGTTGATGAGTACAGTAATCTTCTAAGAAAACATTTGCTAAATTACTGAGTCTTTTATTTGAACTTTTCTGAAATCTGATGATGCAGTCCACAACAGATGGTGTCACTATCTCTGTAAAATTAGAAATTATTATTTTTTACAATTATTTTTTAGATATTTAACAGATATGAATTTGTCTTGTTGAAGAAATACTAGAACTATTCCAAAATTCTATAGAAGCATCAGAATTAAACTTTCACAAATCACAGTCAGGAATTGTCTTGCCAAATAATCCATTGGATTATTTATCAGATTATATTAAGACTAATTTAATAATGAAATACAAAGCAATTTGGCTAAAGGCAGTTAAGCAACCATCTTGTGATAAATTTAATAATTAGAAATAAATTAATTTTTAATCTAAAATGTAGAATATTCTGGAAGAAAAGACTGATCCCAAATGGGAATCAAACCCACAAGTCCTGCTTACTGTGCAGATTGTTGCCAGTTATGTTATCTGTACCACCATCTCATCTTTGCTTCCAGAGCTATTAATTAATTCATTTTAGTATAATTGTGAGGGGCTAACCGGGGATACGGAGTAGTTAAGACTCTTGTACCACTTATTCAGCATCTATCCGTTTGAATAGCCCTCGGGTTGTCTAAAAGAATGGCTTTTCTAGTCAAAGAAATCGAGTGTGGAGGGACTTACAGTGTGATCTCAAAACTTTTAAGGATGGCTTTTTAAACTGTTAAAAAGATCTAGATCATGTCAGGATCCCTGACACCAGTTAATCAGATTTATTACATGTGAATTAACACGTGTTCATGAATCAATACGGAGAGGGTGAAATCTTTTGATTCAGACATAATGAGACATCTCTTTAGCATAAAATATTCGAATATTTAATAAAACAAAGGAAAAATATACAAAGTGGATCTTCAATATATGATTATGATATCGCAGAGAGAAAGATCACATTTTGAGTTAAAACATACTACCTCATTATATATTCTTCTGTACTCAGATTGATGTGAATGTTCGTTATTTCACTATTTCTTCTCTTGTTTCCGTTCTTGTCACTTATTAATTCTTGGGCAGCACTTCGATAAACATTTTCTTTAACTTGGGGACTTAGAAATAAACTTTGTATGAACTTTGAGAGTTAGCTATGGGCATTGGTCGTGAGGAGCGGGTATGGAATACGTCCTTCTCTTCTGGAATTTTGTGGCGTACTCCCCGAATAATACTAAAGAATCCCCTTTTTTGATATTTTTCTCCAATGAGATAATTGTATTCTTCCCACGTGTTTAGGAAGAGTGGGGGTTTACAGAGGGGTAATTGGACTGTATGTGACTTAAAATTTATGAAGATAAGGGAAAACAAAAAGGATGTAGAACTTCTGTTGAGCAGGAAGTGGATTTTACCAGTTTCCTTTGTTTTTAACTTAAAACTCTTTCATTTAAATCAGAAATATTATTTCTAACATTTATGGATTTGACATAAATTTTCAATTAATTAAAGGGGGTGTGTTCAAAATCTCACATAATCATACTGGTCAGTCATGACATTGACTGGAGAAGACTGTAGTTTCCACAGCCTTCCATGCTCTTAGCCAACTTATGCTTTTACCCCAGCATGATATACAATGGAATCTGGTTAATTGAAAGTTGTGTTTACTCAAAGTCATTTCCTTTCTCTGATCGTCTAAGCCTAGGGAATTACATGTTAAATCAAACTGGTTAACTCAAACAAGATTTTGATACAGTATTTTCACAAACTCTCTGGAATTTAATTTAAATAAAATAATTATTATTTATCCATCAAATAAACTGATCAGAAACGTTCTGTAAAGTGCAGGTATGACATAAGACTAAAAATAAACATCATGTCATGTGACAGCAGCAGAGCTATCCTATTGTTGCGTCAGCTCTGGGGGAGACAAGCGCCACAGTGTGGGGAGTGGCAAAATGAAAGAGAATGATTCAAAAAAAAGAATGATTAAAAAAAAAAAAGTTTGAGATGTTTTTCTTTTAACAAGTGATATAATGTTTTTGTTTGTTAGTGTATCTAAATAAAAGTGTCAGTTTTAGTAAACTGTATTCTGAATTTATATCCCGAGCCCCCATAGCTCGTAATATTATTAATAATTTATTATGGATCACCAATACACTATGCACAAAATCTTGATTTTTAGTTGAACCTCAATAATATAAGTCCAAATTTTTTCCTGGCCAATTCAAGTTAATCAGGTTCTACTGTATATATAACAACATATTAGAATATTCTAAATTAAAATTAAAAATTAATTTATTTCTAATTATTAACTTCAACATGAGATAGCAGTCTAAGCACCTACCTCTAGCCAAATTGCTTTATCTTTCATTATTAAATTTGCTTTAATATAACTAATAAATAATCTAACAGATTGTTTGGCAATACTAATTGAATCAGCTCACTATATATGCTGCTGAGCTGCAATTTGAAAAAATTGTAGACCTATAAATTCCACTGTCGTCCATTTATTTTTCTGTCTTTTCTTAATCTCGAGAATGGAGTTAGATAGATGAAAGACAAGACCAGATATGGAAACCTTGATTAACTATATGAACTTCTAATGCAAACCATAAGTCATGTCATTTCAATTCAAAACTTCCCCCAAAAGGTGTTAGAGAGATGACTGGCATAACTCTATTGTTAAAGGAAAAGTATGATGTACAGGTGCAATCCCACTAATTTGAGTTGGAAAGCATATACAGTAGAGCGTCGTTTATCCAAAAGCCAGTTATCCGAAACGTCGGTTAACCGAAAGTTAAATTTAAATTTAAATTTAAATTTTTGCTAGTGCTGTGGCGCTGCAATCTTTGACTATATCTTGGGCTACTCTATATCTTGGGCTACTCCAATATTTTTTTGTTGGTGTGTGTGTTTTAGCTGGCAGCACTGGCACTTTTGTGTGGTGTTTTTCTGAGGACTTGCTGAATCGAACATTTTTGATACTAGATTAACTTCTAAAGTATAATTTTTTTTAGTTTTTATATTTTTCAAATTATTTATTTTGTTTGTAAAAAAAATAAATAAATAATTTTTAATGATACAATAGCCACGATTATTATTTTAAAAAGTTTACATTAGGCTTAACATTGACAAAAATTCAACGCGAAGTGACACGCAACGGAGAAAAATTTCAATATGGGATAAGTTAATATATTTTTTTGTACATAATCGGTTATCCGAAAAATAAGTTAGCCAAACAACCCCAGTCCCCAATTGATTTGGATAAATGACGCTCTACTGTATTTCAAATTAAATAAATTAAAAATATGATTAAAACTGCAGCCCAGCATTGTGACATGGTCACAATAAATGCTCTTTTTTTTAAAACTCTTTCTGCTCTGTGGGCATTAAGAGGGCCAGTGTGGCCGTCGGCCATAGTTTTATATATATTTTTGTTAATTTTAGTTAGGCTTAGTATCTCCTATGTTCTTTTGTCTTAACTGTTCTAGAACTTTCTCCCTTAATCCCTATTCCCTCGGGTGACATCACCGATTCTGTGAAACAATGTCAAGAAGACAAAAGGAGCAATAACCCCCTGGAGAGGAGGCGAGGTGAAAGAAAGGAGAAGCGGCTGCGATTTCGTCGAGAGAGGACGAAAACGAGTGTGGTCCTGACCGAGGGGTCGAGCAAGAAGTAAGAAACCTTGCGATAGAAAACCGAAGGAGGATCATACCCTGATCGCATAGTGAGAGATCAGAGGTATCGGAACCTTGTAAGACGGCTGAATTATAGAGGAACGTAGGACAGTTGCTAAAAAAATAGAGTTTCCCCATGTTCAAGTAACGGCAAGCGGGAAGACCACAAGACAACCCCAGAAAACGTAGGCATTCATAAGAGGAAAGAAAATAAGGTCTGCAGTCATTAAGAATTTCAAGACGGTGAATCATCCGAGACCACATGGCAGAAAACTCCCGAGTATTTTCTCCTTTATTCTACTACTATCCCTATCTATATTTTATTTCTCCTTCCTTAGTTTGTAAGTAGGTTAAGTTTAGCTATAAGTCGTGTGTCGGTTGCCACTATAGAGGCTTGTTTGTGTAGACGATTATTGTATGTATACGAACCCAATAGTCTGTAAGTTGGAATCATTTTAAAGAACCTGTGTTTGATGAATAAAAAAAATTTTGTATTTTTAGTTGTTTTATATGTTTCCTGTCTGCAATAATATATTGCCCTCAAACGAAACTTCACACCAGTTTGATCAATTTCATTGTGGGTTCAGCCAGGCCCACAATAGAATGTCCAGGTGGTTAGAGATGGGATTTGATGTATCTAGATGGATCACTCCACCCTGAAAAACTCCTAGATTTTCTGACCTATCCAGATTTGATCTCAGGTTCTCTAGTACAATAGGAAGCTACCTAACCACTCAGCCATATGGCCATCTTACTGTATATGTTATTGTAGGAAGTTTATTTACAATACAATCTAAGTTATGGAATGCTCTCAAGATCAGAGACAAGACAGTGTCTTGGTAAAAACTTGCTGTAACATTCAGAGATTTTTTAAAAATAATCAATACATTGTGTTTTGTAAAATATATAATAAAATTGAATTCAGAAACAGTCACAAAATTGCAAAATGAAGGGCTTATTTTGTATGATAATTAATTGATATAATTTAGCACTAGAAGTATTAAGCACCATTTTTACTAACTTTAATAACTAAAACTTAATACAGTGGTACCTCAGGATACGAACGCCCCAGCATATGAAATTTTCAGGATACGACATGAAATTCCAACATATTTTTGCTCCACAATACGAACAAAAACTCACCATATGACATTACATTAGTTTGCAGCGCCATTTTTTATTCACTTCTGTTCATCGGTCTCAGTCCGCATATTTGCTTCGTCATGGAAGGATCTTGCTTGATAAAGGAAATCTTGAGGTATTATCAGAAAGTGACTGATTTTATTGAAAAGAAACATTCCGACAAGGTTTACACTGGCCATATTGCTGCTCAGAGTAATGACATTTGCCTAAGTCATTTTAGAAACATTTTAAAAAGTAGGCAAAGCCAAACTTCTTTGGATAGATATTTTACCAAGCGACCTCTATCCAGTGAAAGTGCTGTTGGAAGTGAAGGAAAGAAAACAAAAACAGTAAATAAAAATTTTTAAAAATGTATATAAAACAACACTAATTTTTAAAAAATCTTTTTTAAGTTATTTTTAAGTTATCATTACATTATGTTATGTAAGTTAAGTTTTAGTATCATTTCCCTTCTCCCTCTCTTCCGCCATCAGTTTACACCTCCACCATTGTCTATCCTGAAAGGTAAAGTGCAAATATAGCTACATTTTTTTATCAATTATTTTTCTATTATGGTTATTTATACATTTACAACTACAAAATGCTTTTTTCAGTGTTTTCCTTACTATAGTTATTTTTTTTTTTAATGTACAACTTAGCTTCAATTTGAGTGTGTTTTTCGTGTTAGAACAAATTATTTGGTTTTACATGTAATCGTATGGGGAAAAATGATTCACCTTATGACATTTTCATGATACGATCTCAGTTTCGGAATGGATTAATTTCGTATCCTGAGGTACCACTGTAATTAATTAATTTAGATAAATATAGAAGAAAAGGTAGGCTTGAACTCAAAAGAGATTATCCATAAATTATGAAATACTATTTTTATACTTCTCAGCTACCATCCCACCATGTAATGCTCTATAATTCTATTACAAGTGTCTATCTAAAAATTACATAAAGCATAACCTTGATCAATCTTCTTGATTGTACTAAAGAATAATACACAGCACAAGGCGACAAACATTACATTATTAATTACATGTGTAGCATAAAAAAAAGCTGTAACATAAGCAGTATGGTTCACTATGAAACACTTCAGAAATAAAAATGAATCATTCTGTTATCCAAGGGTTGGGACCCTAGCATTATGTAATATTTGTGTAAACATCCCACCCCCTTGTAATATATTGTAATGATTACAAACATACCCACTGACATCTGCATTATATAATTCATGGACAGTCCCAAACTGCAATCAGTTGCAATTTCCAGATCCACAACTTAGGTTGCATTCACACTTCTGATGACAATGACCACAGACTCTTAACAATAATGATGGTGTGCCTTAATTGTATTCATTCATCACCAAAGCATTCATATTGTTTGTTAGTTTTCATATTAGAGCACATGCAATTTACATTACACTTAACATTATTTCATGGATTTCTGCACTTTCCGACTGGACTCATTTGTTTTAAAATTAGATATGCAGAGTAAAATGTTAATTCTTTGATGTTGACAGCAGAATTTATTACTCTTGTTAAGGAAAATATCAAAAATGTTGATGGTGGATCAAAACCAATCATATTGAGAAAAACACAAGGCAATTTCCACACTTTGGTGCAATAATTACAATTAAAAAACATTAAAGGATTTTTAAAATTATTTTCATATATTTCAAAATACTTTTGACCATTTATTATGCTTCAGAGGCCTCTTTCTTTGACGCAAGAGTAGTAGTTCTTCTGTCATGTTCAAAGAATTGTACGAAGCTCATGTTGATTTGTCTTACTGCATAGTAACCTGATGACTTTGGCTTACATTTTTAACAATCACTTAAAAAGTACGGGCATTTAGTTTATATATAGTCTAATGATGACAATATGCCAAAAAACATAATTGAGAAAAGTGTTAAAAAAATAATATAAACACCTTGATTATGGTGTGTGAATCATTAAGCCTGATACTATGGCAGAATCTTGGAATGGTCCTTTCAAATTATCTTATTAAAGAAAACATTTCTTTAATAAATATTCAAGTATCATCCAAATTCTAATAAATATAAAATTTTCAAACCTTGTTACTCTAAATTTTAATAAATAAGTAAGAATTATTAAATCTCTGTTATCTCTGTTACAGTTTTTGAGATTTAGTTTCAACAATTTTCAAGACAAGAAGCTCTTTTATAATATTGTGCAATTTTGTTGTGAAATAAATAATTCAAAATATTAAATGAGAAAAATCTTGTTAAATTCTTACAATATAAAAGTGTGAACCTACCTGATTTTGATTCAGGAGTTACAAGAAAGATTAAAGTAGTAAGTGCAGATAGAACAGTTTCTTCTCTTGGACTAGAGAGACAATTTACAATCTTTTTCACATTACTATTTTGCAAGATAAAATCTTTGTTTTTCTTATCTAAGATAATAAAATGTAAAATTATAAATTTAGAGAATATAAAATAACATAAATGTTAACAAAGTATTAAAAGAATATCTTTGATAAAAAATATTTAAATGAATGCAGTTATTTTAAATCAATTTTTACAAAAAAATAAAACAATAAACTTCTGTTTAGACTGGTGCTAAAAACATACAATTTAATACAAAACCAATAGGAATTCATATTCAAAAATTGTCAGAAAAATTTCTTAAATTATAAAAAACAAAGTGACTTTAAATTCATGATAATATGGTATGCAAATATATTTTGAATTAAGACTCATTTTTTCACATTTCCAAAGTTAAGATTGAGTTGAAGTGCTTCCTAAATTCAACATTCCTTCAAAGTCCAGACATAATGAAAATTTTATAGTGTTTCATTTATTTTATACTTCCTGTTACTTCATACTTTAACTTAAATATACCATTAATATTCTTAGTCATTAATAAATTCTTTTACATTACATTTACTTCTAATTATCATCCTACTTTTATACTGAAAATTTCTTTTTTTAAAACAAAAATGCATCTTAAATTCAAAATAATATGGCACATATATTAAACAGTTTCATGAAATGATTGTAGTCCTATTAAAATGAGTTATGTTAGTATTTAAATTTCTTTTAAATCCATTAGAGACATAGCATTTGAGAAAGAGAGAGAGAATATTCATTAGACATAGCTAAGTTTTTTAAAGCTAACATGTCATGTAAACTAATGCAATTAATGAATTAAAATTCATATTAGCAATATTTACAAACAACTATTTATTGTGACATCGTCACAATGACGGGCTGCAATATTTTATCACTTAAGTTTAATAGTGTCTTGTCCCTGTACATCACACTTTTTCTATTAACAATGAAGTCAGGCCTGTCATATCTAACTCCATTCAGGAGAAAATTTCTGAACTGAAATAACATATAGTTAATAGGGATCTCCTGCCCAAATTTTCCATATCTAGTCTTGCCTTCATCTATCTAACATAGGGGTCCCCAAACTTTTTATCCCATTGACCCCTTCATAGAATATTTGCCTTTTTATTGACCCCACTTTAAGTATTTAGCAAAAACATTACATCAGAAATACAAAAAAAATTTTTGCATTTCTGATGTTAAGCAATAAGAAGACCTGCATAACAACCCAATAAAAAAATTAATAGTTTCCATATCTTATAAAATCCACCCAATAACATTAACAGAAAAAGGAGATATTTTCCACTGATTTATAATCTTAAAAAATAGTAGCAAAATTATGAATAGATGGAAATTTGCCTATAGTTCTTAAACCATACATGTCATAATACATAAAATACACAATTATTTTTGAAAACATAACATAAATTATATTGGATGAAAAAATTTATAGTTTATATATTTACTGTCATTTTGCAACTATTACTGAATACCTTAAAAAATATGTTAACATACCTTTTTATTAAAATAGTTGATATTAGTGGGATGGATGTGTCTGAAGGGAAGCAGCAAAATTATTGATATTCGGTTGAAAATTGGTAAGTTTTAGTCACAAATCACCATGGTTTTCCAAGTTCAATCTGTTCCTCTGTTTTGTCAAAATTGCGTTCGCATGGCTAAAACCAGCTTCAACCATGTATAAAGTTGGGAATGCAAGTAAGAAATGTTCGGCTTCTGCTCTGAGCTTGGGATATTTAGTGGCAATATTGTTATTGCTCCAAAATTCACTGAGGGTTTTATTTTTAAACAACACTTTAGCTTCGAGATCTACACATATTTCAATCAGTTCATCTTCTAAGCCAGGTTCACTATCTTCATTATCTATTTTTACATCAAATGGATTAGCAAACCATTAGGGAACATGCATATTCTCCAAGCCTTCAAAACGTGCTTTAAAGTTTTTTCTTAATTTATCAAGATGTTTAATATATATCTCCAAATCACGATCAGAAATCTTTTCATTTTCTTTTAGTATGTGCAAGTTTGAAAAATATTTAAAATCAGATCATGCCAGTGAAGATTTAAATAGCTCCATTTTTACTTGAAAGGCCATTATGATTGCTCGAGCTTGAACAATTGTAACGTTTTTTCCTTGCAAATGCTTCTGTACTATATTAAATTTCAAATAAAGGTCTGCCAAATAGAACATATGGTTCTTGCACTGTTTTAACTGGCCACATAGCGATGGATCCACATTCCTAAGAAAGTCTTCAGCTGAGTCGTACAAGTCAACAAGCCTCTGCAAACTATCACCTCTTGACAACCACCTTACCTCAGTGTGCAAAAGTAATTGGTTGAAAGTTTCATCATTTTCTTCACATAACTTTGCAAACAGTCTGGGATTAAGAGGATGAGCTATAATTTTATTTATTGACCTGATGCACACTTTTAGAGTATCATGAAGTTCGCAACTCAGTTTTTTGCCTACAAGATGCTGCCTGTGTAGGACACAGTGAACAGTATGTACTTTAGGAACCTTTTCCTTCAGAAAGACGAAAAATCCTCTGTAATGGCCTACCATAGCAGGTGCACTGTCAGTAGCTACTGCAGTAATACAGGTATACCTCGCCTTACGTCAGTAATTGGTTCTAGGAGAGGCGACTTAAATCGAAAAACGACATAAGTCAAATTTACTTGTCACTAGGCTAAACCAGAAATAACCATTCCCAGTTTTGTATTTTATTTATAAATTAATTTTTAATAATACAGTGGAACCTCGATATATGACCTTAATCTGTTCCTGATGTTTGGACTTATACCGAATAGGACATATACCAAATCAACCTTTCCCATAAGAAGTAATGTAAAAATGATTAATCCATTCTCATGTAAAAAAGAAATGGCTGGCTTTAAACACCTCGCTTTCCTGGCTAGTTCCTGCTTGATTTTTCATGAGGTCAGCATGTATCTTTTTAGCTTTCTCACAAATAATTGCTTCTGATACGCTGTCGCCAGCATACTGTTTTTCAGTTATCCAAAGCAAAAGCAATTTCTCAACATTATCTAATGTCTTCGATCTCTGTTTAGAAATTACTGTACAGTAGAGCGTTGTTTGTCCAAAAGTCGGTTATCTGAAATGTCAGTTATCCAAAAGAATTCCAGTCGGCAAATTTAAATTTTCGCTATTGCTGTGGTGCTGCAATCTTTGGCTATATCTTGGGCTACTCCAATATTTTTTTGTTGATGTGTGTTTTTTAGCTGGCAGCACTGGCACTTTTCTGTGGTGTTTTCTCAGAACTGTGTGTCATGCTAAATCGAAAGTTTTTGATACTAGATTAACTTCTAAAGTATAATTTTTTTTGTTTTTATATTTTTCAATATATTTATTTTGTTTGTAAAAAATAAAGAAATAATCTTTAACTATACAATAGCCACGATTATTATTTTAAAAAGTTTACATTAGGCTTAACATCGACGAAAATCCAACGCGAAGCAACACACAACAGAGAAAAATTTCAACAGGGGATAGGTTAATGTATTTTTTCGTACATAATTGGTTATCCGAAAAATAAGTTATCCGAACAACCCCAGTCCCCAATTGATTCGGATAAACGACGCTCTACTGTAATTTAACCCCTTTCGCAACATTAGCAGATTTAATAATGTCTTTATTTTTCACAATTGTCGATATCATCGTTCTTGGAATACATATGCAACAGTTAAATCTCGAACATGCATGCCACCTTCATATTTCTCAATAATCTCTTTTTTCAGTTCCATTGTGATTCTAGTCAATTTTTAGTTTCTGTTGCTTTTCATTTGCCTTTTTGCAATTCATGATTAATAAAAATAATAAAATTTTACTTACAAATTAAAATGAAAAGAAACTTAACAAAGTTATAAACTATGGCACAGCGAACGTCTAGTCTGGTCTAGTACACCAATAATGCTACTTGTTCATAGATGGTGCATATAATTGAACTAGCTGTTAACCACAACTTCGTCTGCAGAGGTTTTGCAAGCAAACCCCGTTTACATTCAATATTTCAATAACCATAGTAATTGTTATATAACATCTACTGCTGAGAATGAGAACTGCCGAGAATCAAACGAACTATTTTCAGTTTGATCAATTTTCTGGAATGTTTACAATCGTTCTATAATCAAACCAATAGGCAATAACAAATTCGAATCTAAAATGGTTCGAACATTTTTAAAATCGAAATAGATAAAAATATTTATAACAATGTCTGAAATGTTATTAATTTAATACACCTAAGTACACAATGAAGACTAAGTGCTCTCCCTCTCCCCCCGCGGGGGAATTTCAAAAAATCCCTTCTTAGCGTGAATTGCCATGGCATACCCTACTAAAACACAGATAAAAACAAAAAATAGCATCTAAAATAGTACAGTAGAAGCAGTTCTTCTGGTTAAGCCTTAATCCTCTCCCTCTCGCCCTCGCGGGGGAATTTCAAAAAATCCCTTCTTAGCGTGCATTGCCATGGCATACCCTACTAAAACACAGATAAAAACAAAAAATAGCATCTAAAATAGTACAGTAGAAGCAGTTCTTCTGGTTAAGGCTTAATCCTCTCCCTCTCCCCCCGCGAGGGAATATCGAAAAATCCCTTCTTAGTGTGCGTTTCCATGACGTACCCTAACTGTCTACCAAATTTCACCTCTTTAGGTTAAGCAGTCTGCTCTGGGCGATGATGAATCAGTGAGTGAGTCAGTCAGTCAGTCAGGACAAGCAATTTTATATATTTAGATTAAGTCGTATACCAAGCAAAATTTGTTTCATCCAAACAGGACGTATTCCGAATTGGACGTATTCTAAAGCAGACGTATACCAAGGTACCACTGTATATGGTTAATAAGAATCTATTTTAAGCTTACAAACAAATAAATTTTAGTTTTTAATATAGTGCAGAAAAAGTAATCTAAATTTACGAATTCATGTACGTACCGTATATACTTGTAAATGTACATGTTTGTAATTTAGCAATGTTTACAGTACATCACAGACTCTTTATTTGTGAATGTGGTTTGCTCTAAGACATTATAAAATAAGATGATTTTGTAAGGTTAAATAACAAATACAGTTATTAAAATTATTTTGCAACAGTAGAAAATAAACTAATTTATTGAACTTCTCCACAACACCGTGTTAACGTACAATTAATCAACCACAAACCTTTACGGTGCAAAATTAAATACAAAAATCCGGTTAAAAAGTTCCCACAAACGTTTTCAAACCCACTTAGGTTCTTCTTCAGGTGAAAAAACTTAAATACTCAAAAAACATTCGATGGAATCCAAATTTGAATGAGAAACGATCAACTAATACGATGAATTCTGCCGCTGTCGTCATCAATTTAATATAAATAACTAATTTATATTAAATTTACCAATATCGAGTGGTGCTGACAACAACGCCAAACGGTAGATGTTGGAGCTACCATGGAAAGCACCAATATTGAGCATTTAAAGACCACTAAATAAGAAGACAACACAGAAACATAGATGTTTTCATGTTTCATTCTTTAGGATTTATGATAATTATATTAACATTTACTGTAAATGTACATATTTTAATATGATTTTATGTGCTTTAACGCTTTTATAGTGATATTACGACTTCAATATTTGTGGTGGACAGACATAAAGTCGAATAAAATGACTTAAACTTGATTTTTATTTTTCCACATATTTTTTGACAGACGACGTATAATCGAGAACAATGTAAGTCGAGGTATATTGCTGAAAGGAATGCTGTGCTTGTTCAAATAATCTTGCAAACATAAAAAAATTGTCTCACCTTTTGAATCAGTTTCAAGATACTTAGCAAATAGAAATTCATCAGCAGTGTCATTCAGATATGGGCTATGTAATCTAACATAAGCCATGAGAAGATTTGAACTTCCAAAAGTTGATTCGTCAAGTTGAATAGCAAACTTACAATGCTGGAGCTCAGAGATCAAAGTTCTTTCCACATCATCGGCCATTTCCTCAATACGTCGTTGCACAGTATTTGCACTTAATGGTATACATTTTAAAACTAGTTGGGAGTCTTTCTTCATAACATTTTCAATTACATCTTTTATAGCTGGTATTATAATCTCTTCACCAATAGCATACGGTTTGCCTTTCTTTGCAATATTAAGAGAGATGCTGTAGGATGTCTTCACTCCTCCTTCTCTGTCAGCAGATGACTTCAGATATGTATTCAAATTTGGCTAAACTCTCAATTTCTCTTTTAGTATTTTAAAATACTCAAAATCTTTTTTTTTTCTTATCAGAATGGATCCTTTCCAAATGGTCTTTCATTTTCGCCAGCTTCATAGTATCATTGCTGAAAGTTTTTTCACATAATAAGCACATAGGAATAGTTTCATTAGCAAATGATGGCACAAAACCATATTTCAAATACTCCTGTCAATATTGTCTGCATTTCTTCTTAGCATTGGTAGCCGACATTGTGGGTATTAAAATGAGATTTTTTATATGAAAAACACAATACATTTGCAGGACAACAAAATAGCAGCATTAAGTTCGCTTAGCTGGCCTTAGGCAAACTTATCTCTCCCGCCTAAACTCTATCTTTTTATATGGATTGAAGCTACGAAGTGCTGATTGACCAATCAGCATTTCGTAGCGCTCTTGTTGGTCCACAGGTGGTCCAAAGCTTGGCAGCCAATCAGCTATCCTGCTTTCAAAACTAACAGTCATTTCTCGATCCGAGTTTCTATGGCGACAACCGTTACTCGTTTGAAAAAGAGAAAACGCGGGAAACATATGTACGTCCAAACGATTCAATCCCAACACCATCTTTTGCTAATAGATGTTTAGAATTGGAAGGAATTATAATTATTATAAACTATTAAACTAAAGATATTAATAAATGTACATGATATTTTCATACAAACATAATGATAATTTGATTTTTGGTGAATTTTTTAAATAATATCGCCTGACTGACCTATATTGCCGTTGGACAGTTTACAAAATAAACGTAAACAAAATGGCGGTGATAAAGGGTTAATGATTTTCGATATATTACGATATTTTCTCTGTAAAGAACAAAATATCTACATTTAGATATAAAATACTTAGTGACAACCCTACTAGAGTGTAACAGTGCAATGTATGTCTGTGTATAATGAACTACTAGCGTTCATAACATATTTTTAATACTAGTACAGTTGCCAGATGCATGAAAACAGAGTAACACATGCTTAAAGCAGCATAGGCTAAGGCAAAACTCAAGTTATAACTAGGATAGTCAGTAATGTTGATCATATCCGTATTTTGAATTTTTATTGGAATATTCTATTTTTTTCCTAGACAGTTTAATTGATCCTCTTTAATATTAATCGGCCCCTTTCGACCCTCGTGTATTAATCGACCCTGGAAAACTCTTATCGACCACTTTGGGGACCTCTAATCTAACACAATTCTTGAGATTAAGGAAGGACAGACAGACAGATGGCAACAGTGGGATCCATAATTTTTCAGATTGCAACCCAATTAAATAAAATTACTGGCATAATAGTATAATTAACCTTAAAAATATTTAAACAATACTTTAATCAAGACTTTTCAGATTGTCGGTTTATTAAAATCAAACCAAAAAACTAAATGTTTCAAGAGAATGCATTGTGTTTTTTATTGTTAACCATCTATTGAATATTTGACATAACTAGTCATTATGTCTGATGAATATTTTAGGTTGTTCAGAAAGTAATTTCGTTTTTTATCCATGAAAAAAAAAAAAACAATATTTTTATAATATATAAATATTTTATTGAATTATATATCGACCATTTTGGTCAAATACCTGTTGTCATTGTTTCTGGTAGTAGCATGATTTCACATTCATAAAAGTTTTGATCGTTGCTTACAAAAAACTGATCCAAGTGATTTTTGACATTGTCATTTCAAGTAAATGTCTTACAGTTAAAAAAATGTGTATAGACCGGAACAAGTAATAATCTGAGTGTGCTCGATCTGGCAAGTATGGTTGATGCAATAGCACATCCCATCTAAGTTATAACAATTTCTGAGGAGTTACCAAACTTGTGTGAAGTTTGATATTATCGTGGTAAAACACTACACCTGTTTTGTTGATCAATTCTGGCCACCTTTTCTGTTTGATGATATTACTCAATTTGTTTACTCGATGGCAGTACACTTTTGAATCAATTGTTAAATTGTCTGGTAAAAGCTCCAAAAAAAAATTTCCTTAAAATTCCACCAAAGATAGCATCTCTCCTTAAGAACATGTGGAACCCATATATCAATCTTTGAAACAAAACCAATTTGTTTCAAGTAATCATAAACAGTTCAATTCGACAAATTTAATCTCTCAGTGATTTCATGTGTTGTTATTCGGCAGTTTGCTTCAATCAGTACCTTTTATTTTGTTTTCATTGGCTTCAACTGGCCATCCAGAATGTGGTGCATCTTCAATATTGAAATTGCCAGAACTAAATTTTGTAAACAAGTCTTGGCCCTATCATTCTGTCAATACATCTTCTCCGTACACTCACACAATTTTTTTTCACTTAAACAGCATTCTTACCTTTTCAGTAATAAAAGAGCAAAATATGTCGAAAATGCTGCTTTCGATCTTCCATATTTGATGGGACACAAAAAATAAACAATTGAACAAAATGAAACAAAATTTTTTACAAATAAGCATTAAAATGCTAGCTTTCAAAATATATAATGATAATATGGTTTAGAATGAAAATGGCTGGAAAATACAACTAATCCATCTAGTGGTAAAAAAAACGAAATTACTTTCCAAACACCCAATAATTACTTTAAATAATTATATTCATTACACAGTTAACAAATTAAAAATTAAATTACACAATTGTAATTTTTACCTAAACATAAATTACACAATCCTCCAATTGCAAACTCTACTAACTCTTCATCTTCTTCATCAAGTTGATCTATGAAAAAAATTTTACATCAATATAAACAGACTACATACAAAGTTAATATATTGTTTTTATCATTAGATATAATACAGAGCTATCATCATCTATAGAATGGGTGGAAAGTAACTAGGTATTGAGCAATTGCTATAATTTTTGTAATAATAATGCAATCATAATAAAATCTGTGCACACATTTACATCACTCAATGGAATTTTATAATTTCTGATTGATGATGTGGACAGTAATGAAAATGATGGCCAATCATTTATCTGTCCAGGAGCGAGTGAAGGTTGTTGAGATGTGGAAATCAGTTGTTGCTGTGAAGGGTTGGTGCCATACAGTAAAGAGATGTCTTGCCACAATCCATCAGAAACAATCAAGGATTGTCATTTAAAGCTAATGACCGCACCGTTTGAAAGTTTTGAAAGTTCTGTGTGACCACAAGTGGACACACAGAACTTTCCACTGCTCTGGTTTCCCTACATCAAATGTATTACATTTGTGGGAGGCCCTCTTACTTGTCACAGAAAATAATTATTTTCAATTTAATGGCAAAGTATACAAACAAACCCAGGGTGTACCAATGGATTCTCCCTTGTCACCCATTTTGGCAGAGCTCATCATGAGGAATATAGAGTATCGTATTTTCCATGCACCTTTAACAATCCACTATCCAATCATGTATCTACGTTATGTAAACTAGTTCTATATAAGTTTCTAATGTTTACCAGTGATGTGTCAGAGTATGCCATACTCTGACATAACAACATTTTCTATTCACTTTCTCTTTCACTTCTTTAATCACTTCAGCTTTAAAAACTAAAAATATACCTGTGTATATTCTATGCTTGGATATCATAAAACCTAGCTAAACAATGGGTACATTCCTGTATGCACCAAACAGTTCATCGATAAACTGCAGTGTACTAGAATGTGTTCCAATATTCACCAATGAGTTAATCAGTGCATCTGATAACTGATGCACATCACACTCGTCAGGCTATGGATATAGCTAGCTCCAACGGAGCAATATGGCCACCTGCACTGTTATATTATTTTACTACTCATCTGTATTAACCCAAAGTTATAGAATAAGTCTGCAAATGTCACTGTTGTACTGTTTACTTCTGCCATCTTGTTAGGTTGCAAGATGTTCCAGTAAAACCTTATTACACCATTCACCTATGCATCAATTGTGGCATCATTTGCTGAGACTGATTCATACTGGAATGTAATTATCTAGAAGTAAATACAGTAGAGCCTCGAAAACTCAGCCTAATGTGGACCGAAGGGTGGCCGAGTTTGTGAAAATGTCGGGTTATCGGGAATGGGGTTAAAAAAAGGATAAGTAAGCGTGTTTCCTCAGAAAATATTGTACTGTACTTGTATGTATTGTTTGCTTGAGAATACAACAGAGAATAAACTGCCCAAATACCCTTAAACAAAAGAAAAGTACATCCTTTATGAAGGCATAGAGCCTTTACTACATGAAAATGAAAATTAATAAATATACTGTGTACAGTAATTTACTTGATAAGACAGACCTCAGAAAAATACTTTATGAGGCATAAAGCTGTCTATAATGAAAATTAATTAACTAAGAATTTTTTGCCCTGCCAGGGTGTGGCCAAGTTATCCGGAGTGCCGGGTTATCGAGTGCCGAGTTTTTGAGGCTCTACTGTATCATTAAAACTGTTGTGGCCTGATCAAGCCATTTTTCTTTTTCTCTCTGGACTCTCACCTCCCAAATTGGACTACTTCCAGTCTTTTATACATCTAGTTTTCCTAGTATTGGTTGGCATCAGGCAGTACTTCCAAAAGAAGGGTCACAAGTAGAGTGTATTGAGGAAGAAGGGACCATATTGGGTGTGCTCGTGATAAGATAGAGTGTATGGAAAGGCTTGAAAGAGGACTAAAAATCCAGCTCCATTGAGAATGGTTTTAACTGAATTTCATTGATAAAGTATTACCTGGGGTTGATAGAACCCAAAGTTTTATATGGAAGTTTTAGTTTTTCCTGAAAAGATTTTTTTCCTGTTGTGTTTCCAATTCGGATCACCCACTAGAGAAGCCAATGGACATATATGAGCAGACCAGATGTATCATGGAAAAAGGAAAAAAAATTTGGGTACAACTCCCTTTTAGAAAAAGGAAACTCTTAAAGAAAACAAAAAGGTAAGTAGAAGTGCTGCCAACCATTCTTTTCTCAATTTATTTTACATTTTCTTAACATTTTTACTAACCCTGCTATCCCTTTGGATCCTAATAGATCTTAAGTTTTAGACCTTAGAAATACATTTAGCTTAAGTTTTTTTTCTTTTTTTTCACTATGTGATTTGAGTGTTTTTTGTTTTTTTTTAGTTTGAGTCACATCATTTTGTTTGTCATATGTAAAAAAAAATTTCCAAAATGGTAATTTGCATATTATTAGTAAAAGATACAGTTAATAGAAATCTAAAGAAAATTTTTATCTATGTCAAGTGAATTTTCAAATTTTTTTTTCCGACTGTGAATGTGTGGCAACTTTTCCTATGTTAAAATTTAACTTAATTCACACTGAGCATCTTATAAGCCAGAACAAGCTAGAACACATAAGAGCATGTTCTTATATTTGAGATATACTCCTATAATTGAAGCAGGATGTGTATTTCAAAACTGCAAAAGCAAACAATTTTTACATAAAAGAGCTGTTATTTGTGCAGAAATATGATAAGTGTTTCTCAGAGGAAATGCTTGCCTTTTATATCTTCTAATCATCTGAATCAATTGATACACATACAAATAAATCAGAATTAAGTCATTAAGACAATATAACAAAATATATTAAAGAAAAGCATTAAAATATCATAAATGATATTTCTTGTAATTTAAAACTTACCCAAAAAGAGAGCAATAATATTTAAATTCCTAAAATGATCATAATTTATGGGATCGTATGCAAAGTTTCCAAGATTAGCTAAAACCTGCTTCTTTGCATCTGAAAAAATTTAAATATATTTAATTTTGAATATAAATTTCCTAACTACATGTAATTACAAATTTAATTTAATTATGAAACAAAATAAATCACATTTAAAAATGTACATGGAAAACTGTTCAAGATGACATTCCTTCTGTAGAAAAATCAGCATTGTGAGCATCTAATATCACCTCATATGCTAACTAGCAGTACAGTCGACCCCCTATAACACGGTAGATATGTTCCATGTTATGTGATTTATGTGTTGTATGAGTCACTTAAATACATGAGCCAATCACAGCCCAACATGTGTGCAGTTTAGGGACTATGGCTGTTTGAAAGGTTTCTTCCATAAAATTAATCGATTCTAGACTAATTTGACTCAACATTTCCAAAGCACCGTATAATTTTTTTGGGAATAATCCATATAAACTATGCTATAGAAATTGTAGGATTACTTACCGAGTGTGTACTGTTCGACGACATCATTGCTTAAGTTTGAATTTTCGTCGCGGAGTGCCACTCCGCAACAAAAACAAGCTTAAGCAATGACGAAAGTTTTCTGATAAGTTATTTTTCTGTGAAAAATTCACTGAACTTTGGAGACATCATTAATAGAAATAATTTTTATGGCTGTTGAATAAGAAATGTTTTTTCACAAGAAATGTATAAAAATTTATCAATAATGTACATATTTTCTACCTTTTTTTTATGAACTTATCGTTTTGGCAAATGAGCGGATCACATACAGTTTACTTATGCATAAACATACACTTATACAGATACTTAACAAAGATGTAAAATAAATATTTAATATGTAAGAATTAAAATATATTTTATTTCTCTTCAAAACAAACAAATATTGAAATTAACGCAAAATGAATAACAAAACATTTTTAAATAAAAGAAACAGTTACACTTTTTTTTTTAAAATTTATTCACTGTCAGAGCTATCCATAATTAGGACCCAAAGACACCGTCTTTTAAATATTGGTTGTGCTATTTCATAGCTTAAAGATCCAGAGGAAATTCTAGCCCTTATTTTGTTTTCATTTTTTTTTTTATTGATCGAATTGTTGCTTCGTTTAATTTTAAATCTTTAGCAATGACTATTACTTTCTCACCAGGTTTTTAACCGATNTTTTAAAATTTATTCACTGTCAGAGCTATCCATAATTAGGACCCAAAGACACCGTCTTTTAAATATTGGTTGTGCTATTTCATAGCTTAAAGATCCAGAGGAAATTCTAGCCCTTATTTTGTTTTCATTTTTTTTTTTATTGATCGAATTGTTGCTTCGTTTAATTTTAAATCTTTAGCAATGACTATTACTTTCTCACCAGGTTTTTAACCGATCCAAAATTTTAACTTTTTCTTCAAGGGATATACATTTCCTGCTCTTAGAATTCTTCTCCACTACAGAGATCATGATGACTAAAGACAAAATTTTAGATAACGTAAAAATTATAAAATTACAGTACTCTATTAAACTTTTGTTTAATTTATTAATTTTATTGATATTTAATATTAATATTAATTTATTAATTAATTTGTTAATTTTGTTTAATTTAAGTACCTAATTTATATACCTCAACTTACCTGCCTAAACTCTCCATAGCATGGCACTGGATGGCGGAAAGTAGTTCAGCTGCCCATCCACTATTGGTCCAGATTCGAGCAATCCTGTCGCAACACAAGTCAGCGATGACGTTTTACCGAATTATAGGAGTTTTTTTTAGCATGTTTGTGCGAATACTGTCGCAATTTTTTCGCTGTGATATACGAATCCGAAACTGTAGGAACAGGTGTTATAGAGAGGTTTCAAGGTCGCATGTCACGTGATGAAACACACGTTTGCTCCGCCCCTTCGCCATTTTTGTGGTAGCTTTCGCATGCTTAGCTTGCACNATAGTAATTTCATTATTAAAGAAACAGGGTTTCATGTGTTACCATCTCATCCATTCATTGGTGCCTCACCTGATGGTCTTGTAGACTGCAACTGTTGTGGCCAAGGAGTGGTTGAAGTGAAATGTCCTAGGTGTCAGCGACAACAAAATATTGATGAAAATACGCCCAATTATTTAGTTAATGAGAATGGTATTTATACAATTAACAAACGCAGCAATTACTACTACCAAATGCAAACACAAATATTTGTATGTAATGTTGAATATTGTGACTTTGTAGTTTGGACAGAAAAAAGTTTGCACATTGAGCGGATTTATAGAGACTTTACATTGTGGAATAGCATCATTGAAAAAGCAAGAAATTTTTTCAAATTATGTATATTACCAGAACTGACAGCACGTTGGTATTCAAAACAATAGACTGAAATTGTAAATAAAGATTTATTAAAACATTACACAGTGTAAACTTGATTTTATTCAAATGGCACAACACTATTACATAAATTTATTAAAGCACAACTAACATGTACAATCTTTTCTATTGATGTGACACTGTCATGTCCCTTTAGTGTCACATGCTCAATTGGCAATGTTGACTCTAGAATTTTAAAATTATTTTTAATGCGACCGATTACTCGCTCCACATGGATTCTCAAATGAGACATCTTTCTGCTTTCTGCTACTTCCAATGCAGAGAGTTGTTGTTTACCTCTGGTAAATGCAGGAACTGCTAGCTGTGCTCCAGTAATTCCAATACTATCTGTAATGTTAAAACCTCTGTCTGCTAGCACTAAATCTCCAGGCAGTAAATATTTAAGCAATCCAGAATGTTCGGTTAGGTGTTTGTCACTAACCCTTCCTCCCCAAGGTTCTGATATAAAAGACACAGATCCTTGAGGAGTAACACCTATTAAAAACTTTACTGTGTTATGGTGCTTATACTGGGACCATGTCAAATAGCGAGCATCTAATGACGAAGGCCGTTCAATAAAAAGCTCAAAACAGTCTATTATTACTGCAATCTTATTGCCAATAGTTTTTTTAAATTCTTTGGGCATAGTTTTTTGCAGCACATCTCTCTCAGGCCAAACAATCAATCTGCTTAACCTGATGTATAAAATGTGCAGCCACTTGTCAAAGATTCGGCATATTGTTGCTTTTGAAATATTAAATCTGTAAGCCAAATCTTCCAGACTTAAATTTAAGCGAAGTCTCATCAAACATACTATCATCTCTTGAAAAGGAGTTAATTTTCTGGAATTTGGATGATCAATCTGTTTACGACAAAGGTTCAGTATCAATGATAGCAATTTAAAATTGCTCAGTCCACTAAAAAAATGAACCTTGTTGTCATCACCTTCAAAAAACTCTTCATTAAGAACATATGTTTTTTTTAATAATAATACTTCAGTTTTCAAGTTTGCACACTCAAATTGCAAGCTTTCTATATCTTTAGCTTTAAATTCAGTCTGACAAGTGACAGTTTCAACTAAAGATGTAGTTTGTACCCATGCATTAGATTTTAAAGGCTCTGCTTCTTGCATTTCTGCAGTTGTTGAGATCTCTGCATCTTTAACAGTAGGAGGTTGGGTGCAAGCTTCAGCTGCCTTAGGAGTTTCAGCTTCTAAGGCCACTCGTTGTATCTTGCGATTACGTGCTCTTTCATAACGCTCCTGATTTGCAGTTAAGTTGTGGTCACTCTCATACCCCATGTATAATGTTGGCACCCAGTCTGGTGATGACTCATCATACAATGAGGAAGGTTTTCCTTTGGAATGAAAATAATTTTTAAATAATATATTATGACAATTTAATATTAAATTATTTTTATTATTATTAATATACTGTGTTTAATGTTAGTAATTTCACATAATATTAAAATAACTTATCATTATGGTATGTTATATATAAATAATAAGAATTTGTCAGGAACAAGTTGAACATTACATGTACTATGTAATAATTATTTGTTACTAATATAAAAATGCAATGTAAAAAGTAGCATCTTAAACAAATGTTAATGTTGCTCACCAAAATAAACTAACTTAACTATTTGTAAATGAAAAATGGAAATTATTGGTTTATATCTTAAAAAATACACATTTATTTATGTAAATTAGATTGGAAGGAAATTGGTTTAAAATACACTTCTAATTCTTCATCTGCTAAGTGATTATCTTTGTTTAACATTTTAATATTAACTCTACTGTATATTTATTACAAGCAGACACTATGATACTCATGTATAAGTTTATTTAATTTATTGATAAATGGTAAGTTGATTTATTGCTTACCTTTAATGAAATGTTTCTGACAAACTCTTGTATTGATATTCACTTTATCCGTATTGAAATTTTTCCGGTTAATTCTCGAGAGCCATGCAGATTGTCTTCGTCGTGAAAGCTCTTCAGTTTGGGATCCTTGATGAGAAATAATGCCGGGAATTTTAAAAAATGAGGTTCCTTTGTTCTTGAGTGAACTAGCATTACACCCAATTACACAACAAATAACCATAGTGATATTCGCGACGAAAAAAACAATACAAGAACTCCAGTTAAAGCGCACGTGGACACACACAAAACGTAAACAAGTCACAAAGAGTCACAAACATGGCGCTGGACAATTGCGCATGCTCATGACGTCACTTGTGATGTCGACATGAAATCTCTCTATAGGGGGGTCTACTGTAATTAGTTTTTATATTCAAAATGGTACATTAATTCACAAATTGTACTTGCATCTGATTTAAGTGATTACTACAGCTAGAAGATCTACACACTAAAAATCATATAAGTTATAACTTATCATTCATATTATGCATATAAGTTACATAATTTTATAACTATTTACATGACTTTTAGTGCCTAGATGTCCTAGCTCTAGTGATTACATTGGTGTGAACTAATATTTTACCAAACTATTTTTGCTAATCTTAGCTTATGAAACCAAAAGCAATATTTTGTTGTTTGTAAATGAAATTCAATTCAATCATTTTACTTAAACAGTGATCAAAATGCCATTTACAATTTACACATGTTATAAACATTGTTACTATTTTTTTCTTTTTCCATCCATTCCCTTCCTTTTACTTGTATATTTAATGAAACTTTAGTAGTATTTTTTTAAGACCAATCTCAACAAGAGCTACTCTTTCATAGAGGTTTATGTAACCTCTTTTAAACTCACTTGCTTAAATGCTGTATATGAAAAAATTATTATTAATAATATTAATTATTAATTTCATATTATTATTTCATATTATTAATAATATGAAATTAAATGAAAATAAAGAAAAAAACAAAAATAATGTTACTACAAACCATAATGTATGAAAAGAATTTGAATGTTATAAAATACTATGTTGAATGCAATGTTAAATAGGAACTACTTAAGAAATTGAACTGAAAAGGAGCAAAAAAAAAATGCATTACATCAGGTTCACTTAGGAAAATGTAAGTGAACATGATGTAGGCCTATTAATCAGACCAAAAACGTTTGTTTCTTTATACATATTTTTCTGGAAAGAGAAAAGTTTCTTATGTAATTCATTTCAAAGTATTCCAGTTTTGGTTTTCGTTTTGTTTTATATATACATATATAAACTTTAACCAAAAAGCTAAACTAAGGTGTATAAGTGCTATTAACTAGATAATTAAACTAAAAATTTGGAATAATGGTAGATGGTTAGGCCATCATCTTGTATTAATATTAATAATTTCAGTAATTTAGAATATTCTGGAATAGAATTCAAACCTGCAATTTTTGCTTACCTTGAGGCTATAACAGTGATGCTGTTAATAATCAATCCAAACTAATTTTGGCTAAAGGTAAGCAGTTAGGACCATGTTGTAGTAATATTAATAATTACATTAACTTTAGAATTAAATTTAATCATTTAAAATATTTGGATAGAAAAGATTGAACTATCTGCCTTTAAGCCAAACTAAGCTACATGGTTTAATTATCTAATTAACAGCATCGTTATTGTTATCTAGTAGTTTAGATGTTTAGTTATTTGAACATATTGAGCTACAGTCTATGTTTGCAAATAAACTTTAATTAGTCAAAATGATAATAGTTTTACCTTGTGATGAAGAATCTTGAAATTCAGTAACTAATTGCTGCAAATATGAATATCGCTCCTTACTTGAGTACCTTGCCATTATACACAATTTTCTTTCACATTAGCTATTAAAATAAAAACTATTTTATACAATTTAAATTACAGTAAAACCTTTCTATAATGGACACTTGCTAAACAAAAAAAAAAAAAAAAAAAACACTGTTCATTCTAAAAATGTCCATCCAAGAAAAATTGTTTTCTAAAATTACCTTTAATGAGACATCATTTAAATGAAGTCTGCAGTATTTTCATTTACAAACTGATAATGCACAAACCATGCAGAAAATAGTAGTAAGACACATCACAGTAACGAATTATCATAAGAAAATCAGAATTATTTTTTGCAAATAATGGATTTTCTGCATATCCAGGAAAATTTCAATTATGTTTGTTTTTTACAATTGACTGTAGCAATCTACATCTCACTATGCATAATAAATCTTGTGTTAGCTTACTACTGTCAACATCTTTTCTATTGGTGTAAAACTGCTAGTTTGTTTATGCAGTCCAGGGCTTGTCTGTATGACTCTATTGGTGGCTTTATAAGCAGGTGTCATTTTGGCTGTGAAGCCATAACATTTGGCTGTGAAGCCATTGTCATTGCCACCACACTTGTTATTCTCCCTTTCTTGAATCTCAGAAATTAACTGAAGGACTGTTTTTGTATCTTGGCTTGTGCATTCAGTCAGAATGTCAGAATCTATGTTGACATAATGGATTGCAATAACAACAAATTCTGTTGTATTCATGAGCTCTGCATACTCTCACCACCTGACTTCAGTGGGGTGAGGGTCATCACATCTTTAAATGACATGACGATTGGGTTAGTTCGCATAGTTACTTGTTGTCATGGTGATATCATGTAATAACATGACTGGCCAATTTGAACTGATAATGGATGCTGCCAAGGAAAGATCGTAGAAGACCATGATTGGCTAAATTTAAATTGGTGGTGCATGTGTCTCAAGGAAGAGATGGTTGCCAAAACATCACACCATGCAGCAGACCTGGAATAGAGCTATGACTAGCATAGCTGCTGATTGGTTGGCCAACAGGTGTTGACAACTATATAAGGTCAACGCAAAAGTGGGAAATTCGAGTTGGATCCGTCTCACTGACTGAGTTCTAATTTGTTGTACAGTAGTTTAGCAACAAATCAGATGAAATGACTAGCTTGAAGGAAGAGTATTAATGTTAGACTGAAAAGTAGAAATAATTAAAGCAGTTGAAAGTGGAAGAAAAAAGGCAGATGTACGCAGAGACTTTGGTTTAGCAAATTCTACAGTGTGCACAATAATAAAAAGAGAAAGAAAATTTTGAAGTGTCCAAGATGGCAAGAGACAAGTGAAAAAAATTAAGTTATGTAAAAAAGCAAATATTGATGCCGCTCGAATTAAGTGGTTTAACCAATGCAGAAGTTCCAATTTACCACTAAATGGACTGATACTAATGGAAAAAGCAGAATAATTTGGATGACTACTAGGTGATACTAACTTTAAATGTTCTAATGGACGGCTAGATCATTTTAAACAAAGACATGGCATAAGTTTTGGGAAAGTGTGTGGAGATTTGTTTCTCCACACACTTTCCCCAAATTTAAATGTTTTATCTGGTAAACCAGATAAAACATTTAAATTTAAAAACAGGGATATTTTACAAACTTTTAAGTTTGTAAAATATTCCAGTTTCATCTGCATTATCTGCCTTCATCTACATATTAAAATTTTAAAATTTAAATGAAAAATGTGTTGATGAAAAACTTGCAAAAGGATAGGATAACAGCTTTTGTTTGCACTAAATATGACTGGTACAGACAAAAGAAAACTTCTTGTAATAGGAAAATCAAAGAATCCAAAATGTTTTAAAAACAAAAGCACTACTAGTAGTGATTGCATTACCGGTAACTGGTTTACCTTTATACCGGTAAACTAGGAAAATTATATCCCAGTAAATTTACTGGTGTGGCCGTATGCCTTATTTTATGTATATATTTTTATTTGTATTTTCTTCGTTTCCTTTCTTTTTCTTTCTTCCTTTGTCTATAACTTTCTAGAAAATTCTTCTCTAATCCTTTCCTGATAAGGTGGTGGTGACCTACTTTCAAGAACAAAGAAGAGGCGGTAGCCTGAGGGCAAAAAGGGAAACTTCGAACTCACTTTCTGGCTCAGGCGTTGTAAAACTAAGACGTGCGAAGGAGACCTCCCGGTTGTTTCGGCAGCAACAGTAGGACAAGTGGAGACTAGAAGTTAGCGATCGGAAGGAGTCAGAACACATACATCGGTGTAAGAACCTCCAAAAGATTGTTTAGAAAGCCTGAGTCATTTTTTTGACTTACTGTCTGCAAGATTTCACCAATAGGCCACCACCACCAGCAGTCCAAGATCATCGGCACTGGGTACCCTATCTATCCTATTGTCTATTTTTTCCTCCTCCCCCTTTTTTTTTTTTCTTAGTATAAATAGTTTTTAAGCATTAGTCATAGTTTCATTTTTTATATTGTACCGCGGTAAAATATTTTGTTACGAGAGAAAAACTTAACCTTCGAAAATTGTAAAAATCTTTAATATAAGGAGCGTCGGAATCGAAAAACAAGAATCCTGTAAACTCAAGGAAAATAAACACTGGTGAAAAGGGAATTTTATGCGTATTGTTTTTTCAACTTCTACCACGAAGTGTAATCACCACGTGCATATCTTACACTGGTAATTAATTTTTATACCAGTATTTTGGTTAAAAATCCTCTTAATTAACCCAATATTTATTTTCTTAAAATTTCCACAGGTATTTTCCGTGGGAAGCAGATTTCTTTTTTGTCTCCTCCATACCATAGCAAGAAAGCAGTGCAGATGGTGATGGGTCATTCAATTTATAATTTAAATTAATTAATGTTATTAAAAGGAATTTTCTAGTTTTTTTATAACTTGATTCCCTGTATTATACTCCAAAATCAAAATCCATTTTTAGAGTATAATACAGGAAAATAACCCAGAAAAATTGAACAAATATAAGTAACACAAAATATCCAATAATGTTAACAAAAATATAATTTTGAATAGGATTCTAGAAATAATCAAGCACTTATCAAAAAATGAAAATGTATCATGACTTGAGCATGTCACTGAAATTAGTTCAGACTCAGATTCTAGCAAGGTCTTTATTGCTTACCATACCAACTTCTCACATCCAATGAGAACAAAGTGCACAATAGAAAAGTCAAATTTAACAATGAAAGAAAAATTATACTTAATCATTAAACATTAAACGAGCATAGACACTGATAACAGTAATATAGGGGAGGGTGGGGATGAAAGGGACAAAATTCATATTTTTATTTTTCACTGAAAAAGTTCACTTCTAATCAGTTTTATTTTTAGTGCAAAAGATTCATTAGACCTTTACTTTATTCTGACCATATTGTGAATTCATCCTATTATATTGGTAGTTGAACATTTTCACATTTTTAAAGACCTCTCCACGTGTCCCTTTCATTCCCACATCTGGGTTGAAAGGGACACCCTCGGGGATGAAAGGGACTACCCGCGTTTTAATGTAAAACTTGGAATTAGTTATCTCAATGTTTTCAAATTTCATTATAACTGAAAAGTGATAAACTAGAGACTAAAATTTTTAAAAATTACAGTTTTAATAATATGAATTTTGTGACATCACAATTATTTTAAACAGTTAAAAATTATCAATATTTTTAAAACAAAGAATATCAAATCTTTTCAAACAAAGAACAATAACTAAAGAATATCACAATCAGTAGGCTATCACATAATTAAACTGTCTTTCTTTGGTCAATAGAATGTTTTTCGCAATTTATCCCAGCTGATATGAAGTGAAATCGGTGGGAAATGTAATGTTTGCTTGCTCTTGCCGTTCCTCCTGCTTGGGATGGATGGGGTAGTTTTAAAACATCACTGATATCATCCTCCTCAGGAAATATAAACTTGAAACATCCCAATATTTATTCATAAACTTGACTTTCAAGTCTTCATCACTCAGTTTCTTCAAAACTTTTCCCACAAAGTAAACAACAGAAGTTTTTTTGCAAATCTGACTAAAATGAAATCATTGGGCTGAACATGTTTGACAGTGTTTTTGATATCAGATCCCTCACTCGATGTTGCATCAGACGTTGAGGAAGAGCTGCTTTGAGATCTTTCATCTTCACTTTCAGTTTCTTCTGGAATATGTTGCAACAGCTGCTTTTTAGATTTTGTCCTCATTGATGATGCTTGCATTAAATACAATGTTAATTCTGTCTCCATTTCTGTAGTAAAAACTTTCCTGTTACCCACATGCAGTGAATACACTACATTGTCTTTTTTATATTTTGAAGCGAGTTTAGCCAAATGCAATTTTGCATTTCCTTGGGCACTGGCTGTAGCCCTGATTGATGCTTCTTTTTTCAACAACTTCAATTATTGCCCCTTGAATCACTTCTGGCGTCTCACGTTCTTTTTTTTTTTTTTTTTTTTATATACTTTCGAGGCAATTTTTTTCTATTAAAAAAATTTAGCATTAGAAACATGCAAAAAATGTCAATATGGGGTTGAAAGGGACATGTCCCATTCATTCCCTATTTTACTGTCCCTTTCAACCCCCAGGCCTCAAACAACCAAAACTACAACTTAACTTTCTGACAGTGAAATATAATTTAAAACTGATTAAATAAACATATTTTAGAGGTTTCAAAGTAATTATCCTGATTTAAATACATTATCCAATGACTATGTTTGAGATTTTACCCCTAAATGTAAGAAATGAAAAAAACTTTTGCATGCGTTTTCTGCTCATCCAGGCATTCCAAGCACTGGTGCTAATGTATTGGACCCTACAAATGTGTGAAAACTATGGACTATTAGTGTCATCTATCCATGAAATAGCGAAGCTCCATAAGTAATTTAGCAGCAAGTTATAGAGGCTGTCCCTTTCATCCCTTGTCCCTTTCATCCCCACCCTCCCCTACAGTAAGTAAGTTTAAAAGTGTGAAAGATATAGTTAAGAAATAAATGAAGTATTTCTTTCTTAACTAAAAATATAATATAAGCAAAAAATA